GACATGCTTGTTGTAGAGACTAGGGGTCTATTCTTGTTTTCCCAGCACAAGGCCCCGAAACCCACACAGGGATCTAGTTTCCAAATTGCCGTTTTGTACCTTGATTCATAGTCTTCCTTGTGTCTTCTAGAAGAGCCCATCAATGCCCGTGGATGATTTTCCTGCTACACAGCCCATGTATGATTCATCATAATATCTTCTGCTTTCTTCCTCGTTCTACATCTCCTGCCGAGCTGGTAATCTCGTTTGCTTGCTGGATTCACGCGGGAATACCCTTATGTCCCTATTACTGGTTGATGAAATCCGCGCGCTCCAGGTTAAAAACTGTGTCACTGCATGGCTCCAGTGTCTCAAAACGTTTTTTTTTTGGGATGTGTCTTGTGGGCAAATCTTATCAGACCCAGGCTGATTGCTGTGCATAAAACGGTAATCTCTGTAGATACCGTGATTTACTGTCATTTTCTCCACTCGTTCTCCCTAGTTTCTGCTGCAATAAGGGAGAACCAACAGTCTCTTATCGTTTTGAAATCACAAATACATATCACTTTCTTTGTAGGGAGATGGGCAGGTGTGTTTTTTCATCTTCTACCCTGGCATGTTGAAATTTTTTTTTTTAAATTATCATTTGACATGTCGATAAACGTACAGGTCATGATTCGCTTTCTCACATGATCGTCAGAAGATCAGGTACGTTTTTGTGATTCGCAAGTCAGGCGTGTTGTGTATTTATCTATGTCTTCCCCTTGCTCTTGTACCTTAAAGTTTCCCCAGATGTCACCAGGTTTTCTTTTGTATTCCTTCTCGTAACTTAGGTACACTGGGCTGTCGATATAAGCAGGTTGGCATGTGTACGATGTATACTGCGCCCGGCTCAGCCAAATGTTTGAACTAGATTACGCGTGGGCCTAATGTCGCGCAGTGTCTAAAATATACCAAAACAGGGGTGTTTCCTTAACTCTTTTTTCTTATATCTGAGATACACGGAAGGAAAAACTACCCACCATTCCCCTATGAGCAAAACACTGGGGCAAATGTTTCCCGGACCATCTGACTGCTAACCAAACACGGAAATAAAAACAATTAGAGACAACCGAAGCTTTTGTTCTTATATCTGAGATGTTCATCCTACAGGCTGCACTCACGGAAGAGAAAAACTACCCACCATTCCCCGTTAGATGAGCAGGCAGACACTGTGTGGACAGGCAGCCAAGAAAAACCGAACATGGGCTGCAGACATGCTGTCCACATTCAGCAGAGATATCCCAGATCTGGGCAACTGTCATTCAGACGCAAAGTGGTGCTGAATACAAGGTGAAATACATTTAGAGTTGTCATCACTGGAGTTACCGCATCCCCCCCCCCCCCCAATCCTCTATGCTGCACCACACCCTTCAGGGAGACACTGGTCTTCCCATCTGAAAAATAAAACCCACTGAGGTCTCCGTGGCGGAGTGGTCAAGCCGTTTGCCTCGTGCTCTGAAGGTCGTGGGTTCGTGACATGGCTGCGTCCTTTAGTTCAGGAGTGCAATATTTACAGAAATCCCTCGAGTTCGAGTTCTGTGCGGCGCTCTCAGGCGGCGAGAGACCGAGCCATGTGGGAATAAACCCGGTGCAATAAAGTGTACCCTCTCGACTTCAACTTTAACTGTAACCACGCCCTTCAGGAAGGCATGTGGCCTTATTTATAAAACCACTGGTAGGCAAAACGAAAATAAGAATAGAAATAATTAAATGTTATTAGGTTTAGATAAAATGTGTGAGTGACAGACAGTAGAGACGACTACAGCACAAGTATTAGTGTCAATTACTGACACAAGAGACCAGCTATTAGACCCGGATTAAAAGCTTGAGTAGATTAGTCCGCTGGCAGTTCAGTGTGGAATTTTAATGCTCCGGTTGGGAAAAGTTATGACGTGTTCACTCAAAGCCCGGCTGGGAAAAGTTATGACGTGTTCACTCAAAGCCCGGCTGGGAAAAGTTATGACGTGTTCACTCAAAGCCCGGCTGGAAACAGTTGTGACGTGTTCACTCAAAGCCTGGCTGGGTTAAGTTATGACGTGTTCACTCAAAGCCTGGCTGGGAAAAGTTATGACGTGTTCACTCAAAGCCCGGCTGGGAAAAGTTATGACGTGTTCACTCAAAGCCCGGCTGGGAAAGGTTATGACGTGTTCACTCAAAGCCCGGCTGGGAAAAGTTATGACGTGTTCACTCAAAGCCTGGCTGGGAAAAGTTATGACGTGTTCACTCAAAGCCCGGCTGGGAAAAGTTATGACGTGTTCACTCAAAGCCCGGCTGGGAAAAGTTATGACGTGTTCACTCAAAGCCTGGCTGGGAAAGGTTATGAATGACGTGTTCACTCAAAGCCTGGCTGGGAAAAGTTATGACGTGTTCACTCAAAGCCTGGCTGGGAAAAGTTATGACGTGTTCACTCAAAGCCTGGCTGGGAAAAGTTATGACGCGTTCACTCAAAGCCCGGCTGGGAAAAGTTATGACGTGTTCACTCAAAACCCGGCTGGGAAAAGTTATGACGTGTTCACTCAAAACCCGGCTGGGAAAAGTTATGACGTGTTCACTCAAAGCCTGGCTGGGAAAAGTTATGACGCGTTCACTCAAAGCCTGGCTGGGAAAAGTTATGACGTGTTCACTCAAAGCAGAAGAGAGGAGAGCTGTATGGTACTAATCCCATCGGTAAAATCTGTCATTGGACTAGATATATTTTATCCCCTTGCGATCTTATAGCTGCATATGTTTTGCATATAGTTTGGCATGCACTCATTTGGGTTTTCACTGGTATTTCAGAGTTCATGGGTCATGCTGGGGCTCTGTTAATAAAGGTCCCCGTAATACACCACAGCAATCCACTGCAGACACAGATAACAAAACAACGTGCAGAAAATCAACAGCACACAGTGTCGCACTACACATTCAATTCAATAGCTAGGCAACGGAACCGGACACTATAATTTCAAATATGAGGAAAATGCAAAAGAAAAACCGTGGCCTGAAACAAACAACGCTCCTGGACTTTATCAAACCAGAAGTCTTTCCGTTCTGTTAGACCGGATGTTAAATAATACAAAGCTTATACTAACAATGTCCCTAGAAACGTTGATGCCTTTTCTGTAAGCCCCGTTCAACCTGGCTAAAACGATGAACGTAAATCATCCAGTGCTTATAACAGACAATAGGGTGATGTGAACAGGGAGGGTGATGTGAACAGGGAGGGTGATGTGAACAGGGAGGGTGATGTGAACAGGGAGGGTGATGTGAACAGGGAGGGTGATGTGAACAGGGAGGGTGATGTGAACAGGGAGAGTGATGTGAACAGGGAAGGTGATGTGAACAGGGAGGGTGATGTGAACAGGTAGGGTGATGTGAACAGGGAGGGTGATGTGAACAGGTAGGGTGATGTGAACAGGGAGGGTGATGTGAACAGGTAGGGTGATGTGAACAGGGAGGGTGATGTGAACAGGGAGGGTGATGTGAACAGGGAAGGAGATGTGAACAGGGAAGGTGATGTGAACAGGGAGGGTGATGTGAACAGGGAAGGAGATGTGAACAGGGAGGGTGATGTGAACAGGGAGGGTGATGTGAACAGGGAAGGTGATGTGAACAGGGAGGGTGATGTGAACAGGAAAGAAGATAGAAGAGGGCCAGGAGAAGAAAAAGGTGAAAAACGTCTGCCGTCTCCCCACCGGGGGTAGCCATCCAGTGTAATGTACCCAGTGTAATGTACCCAGTGTAATGTATCCCGTGTAATGTACCCAGTGTAATGTACCCAGTGTAATGTATCCCGTGTAATGCATCCAGTGTAATGTACCCAGTGTAATGTACCCAGTGTAATGTATCCCGTGTAATGTACCCAGTGTAATGTACCCAGTGTAATGTATTCAGTGTAATGTACCCAGTGTAATGCATCCAGTGTAATGTACCCCGTGTAATGCATCCAGTGTAATGTACCCAGTGTAATGCATCCAGTGTAATGTATCCAGTGTAATGTACCCAGTGTAATGTACCCAGTGTAATGTACCCAATGTAATGTATTCCGGGTAATGTACCCAGTGTAATGTATCCCGTGTAATGTATCCCGTGTAATGGATCCCATGTAATGGATCCCGTGTAATGTACCCCGTGTAATGTACCCCGTGTAATGTACCCCGTGTAATGTACCCCGTGTAATGTACCCCGTGTAATGGATCCCGTGTAATTTACCCAGTGTAATGTATCCAGTGTAATGTATCCAGTGTAATGTATCCAGTGTAATGTATCCAATGTAATGTATCCCGTGTAATGTATCCATGTGTAATGTATCCAGTGTAATGTATCCCGTGTAATGTATCCCAGTGTAATGTATCCAGTGTAATGTATCCAGTGTAATGTATCCCATGTATCAAGTGTAATGTATCCAGTGTAATGTATCCAGCTTAAGAAGATTTACCTAGAAGAAGAAAAAAGAATGTTAAGTTGTTCTGTATCACCTAAAAATGGAAACAAAAACATCAATCTTTCACGAGCAACTTCGCTAATCAGACTTCATTCCCGAAATGTTTCATGTATTTCTGTTTCAGTCCATGGTATGCTTTCAGAAACCCTGTTTCTCAGACTGATATATTTCTCATGAAATCTTTACAAGTATGATACGGTCTCATCATTTTTTCCTCGTAAATAACATTTTTTTTTTTAAACAGGTAATTATACATAATTTTATTCGTACATACATAATACGCGCGCGCGCACACACACATACATACATACACAGACAGACAGACAGACAGACCGACAGACAGACCGACAGACAAGAAATGCCAAGCACGTCGTTGTCAGCATTGACACCAAGCTAGGACACGTTACTAATCAACTTCGTAAAGCAAAGGTCAGTGCAGCTACTCTAAGATCTCTGCAGCATCCAAGGACTCAGCACCCATGGGAATACCCGATGTGCAGTGGTACTAATTGTGACCATATAACAACACTGAACAAGTAAGTACACATTTACTCACTTCGTATGAGACTGTCCGCAGAATACTGGCTGTGTCCTGTCTGGTGTGAAGAGAGGGAAGGCGTTGGCGGCAAACAGGCAGGAGCAGGTGGAATGGGAGATGCAAACATACCTGTCGACAAGGTGGAGGTGGCTGTCGTTTGCAGGGAGGTAGGATGGCCTAGTGGAAGAGTAAACAGAGGAGACGGGAGGGACGTCGTCGACGGGAACGGATAAGGTCCCAGGGAGGGAATCGCTGTTGATGGAGTTAGGGGACTGGGATGGTGGAGCTGAAGGTGGGGGTCGTATAGCGGAACTTGGGTGCTGTGGAAAAATGTAAAGCGTGTCAGAACTGAACAACAATGCAATAGCATCAATGATTCTTCTTCCTTTTAAAGACACTGAAATGCAATATCCTTGCTGTCGTCTATTTCAGAGACCATGCTCGCCATATTAGAAAATTTCGAGTAGCTCTTAACGTAAGTCACTTTCACATTTTCTAGCAGCCCTTGTGGGCAGCGACGAAGCAATGTACACAGAGAACTGATCTGACGACGGCACTGATCTGATGAGGACACTGATATGATGAGGACACTGATCTTGAACTGTTATGTGAACTCAGTCGCTTTACTGTTGCGTGAGCGCAGTCTCTTCATGTGTTGTGTGAACACAATCCCTCTCCTGAACTGTTATGTGAACCTCTTGCACAGTTGTGTGAACCTCTTGCACACTGATGTGAACCTCTTGCACAGTTGTGTGAACCTCTTGCACAGTGATGTGAACGTAATCTCTTGAACTGCTATGTGAACCTCTTGCACAGTTATGTGAACCTCTTGCACAGTTGTGTAAACCTCTTGCACAGTTATGTGAACCTCTTGCACAGTTATGTGAACCTCTTGCACAGTTGTGTGAACCTCTTGCACACTGATGTGAACCTCTTGCACAGTTGTGTGAACCTCTTGCACAGTGATGTGAACGTAATCTCTTGAACTGCTATGTGAACCTCTTGCACAGTTATGTGAACCTCTTGCACAGTTGTGTAAACCTCTTGCACAGTTATGTGAACCTCTTGCACAGTTGTGTGAACCTCTTGCACAGATGTGTGAACATAGTCTCTTGTAATTTTGTGTAGATTTTATCTCGTGTGGATATTATCTCTTGCATTATTGGGTGAACGTACTCTGTGATATTGTTGTGTGAACGTACTCTGTGGTAGAGTTGTGTGAACGCACTCTGTCGTAGAGCTGTGTGAACGCACTCTGTCGTAGAGCTGTGTGAACGTACTTTGTGGTAGAGTTGTGTGAACGTACTCTGTGGTACAGTTGTGTGAACGTACTCTGATAATTGTTGTGTGAACGTACTCTGTGATATTGTTGTGTGAACGTACTCTGTGGTAGAGTTGTGTGAACGTACTCTGTGGTAGAGTTGTGCGAACGTACATTGTGGTACAGTTGTGTGAACGTAGTCTGTGATATTGTTGTGTGAACGTACTCTGTGGTAGAGTTTTGTGAACGTACTCTGTGGTACAGTTGTGTGAAGATACTCTGATAATTGTAGTGTGAACGTACTCTGTGATATTGTTGTGTGAACGTACACTGTGGTAGAGTTGTGTGAACGTACTCTGTGGTAGAGTTGAGTGAACGTTCTCTGTGGTAACGTTGTGTGAACGTACTCTATTCCACTGTTGTGTGACCGTGCAATATCGTACCGCTGTGTAAACGAGCAATATTATACTGCTGTGTAAACGTACCGTAGTGCACTGTTGTTTGAACGTGCAACATTGTACTGTCATGTGCACGCGGTCTCGTGTACTGTTGTTCTAAACCTCGTGTATTGTTGTGGGAACCTGTAGTATATATTGATAGGTGAACATACTCTACTGTACTGTTTGTTGTGTGAACGTACTTCACTGTACCGTTCGTTTGTTGTGTGAACGTACTTCACTGTACCGTTCGTTTGTTGTGTGAACGTACTTCACTGTACCGTTCGTTTGTTGTGTGAACGTACTTCACTGTACCGTTCGTTTGTTGTGTGAACGCACTTTACTATACTGTTTGTTGTGTGAACGCACTTTACTATACTGTTTGTTGTGTGAACGCACTCTCTTAAATTGCGTGAATGTAACGTAACCTCAGCGGTGTGGACAATGAACCCAAACCCGGGTACAATCTAATTAACTCAAGCCACTGGTAAATGATGCCCCAGCATTGTCTTCGCTGAGGCCTACAGCCATGCATCAATCACCTTATCAGTTTACATAATGGTGGAAATAGCCAATCACAGGGTCACTTTTCTTCTCCAATTCTGACCTTCTCTCGTCATTTGTGTCATTTGTATTACATCAGTAAATTGTTCATCAATTTATATGTCATCCATGTATATGTCATCCATGTATGTGTGTGTTCTTTGCCTCACAGGCGATGTCTTTTATGATGCGCCCCCTCTCCCCCATGCCATTATTTTTGCTTCTATCGCAAATGCAACAGTAAATCGATCAATCAATTAATTTCTCTTTCTCTCTCTCTCTTTCTCCCCCTCCGTCTCTCTCTCTCTCTCTCTCTCTCTCTCTCTCTCTCTATCTATCTATCTATCTATCTATCTATCTATCTATCTATCTATCTATCTATCTATCTATCTCTCTCTCTCTCTCTCTCTCTCTCTCTCTCTCTCTCTATCTATCTATCTATCTATCTATCTATCCATTCATCCATCCATTCATCCATCCATCCATCCATTCATCCATCCATCTGTATGTCTGTATGCCTGTCTATCTACCTACCTATTTATCTGTCTGCCTGTCTGCAGATATATCTGGGGGATTGAGGGGGGGGGGGGGGGGGAGTTGTGTGTGTCTATTTTTTATTCTGTAACATAAAGACCCGCAGCCCGCCTGGGAGGCTTCCAGATCAACCTTGTCTAAAACTGTTACTCGGTCATATCATGGGAAGTAAAGGCGGTCGGCGTTACGTTACCTACATTAACCATCAAGTGCTGATCAGTCTATTAAAAAAAAATATAGATCTAGCACTACACTCGCCTAAGTAAAAAAAGATAAATTTTCACGCCTTAGGCACAACAGGCATAAGGGAAAAGAATCTCATACTTTTTCCAGACCGATTGGAACAAGGTAGGTAATGTGGTCAGCATTAGGCCGGCCCTCTTTACTTCCCCAGGACAGCCATCATGGTACCCCTTTTAGGCTGGGTCGACCTGCGATCCATGCGCCCCAACTACCCTACACTGTGGCTTAAAAAACAACCCAATGCACACTGATGACCAGCGACAAGAATAAACGGGTAGGAGATGATCATCTACAAAAATAACCAGGTAGGAGGTGACCATCTACAAGAATAACCAGGTAGGAGGCGATCATCTACAAGAATAACCGGGTAGGAGTTGATCATCTACAAGAATAACCGGGTAGGAGGTGATCATCTACAAGAATAACTGGGTAGGGGGTGATCATCTGCAAGAATAACCGGGTAGGAGGTGATCATCTACAAGAATAACTGGGTAGGGGGTGATCATCTACAAGAATAACCGGGTAGGAGGTGATCATCTACAAAAATAACCGGGTAGGAGGTGATCATCTACAAAAATAACCAGGTAGGAGGTGATCATATACAAGAATAACCGGGTAGGAGGTGATCATCTACAAGAATAACCAGGTAGGAGGTGATCATCTACAAAAATAACCAGGTAGGAGGTGATCATCTACAAGGATAACCAGGTAGGAGGTGATCATATACAAAAATAACCGGGTAGGAAGTGATCATCTACAAGAATAACCAGGTAGGAGGTGATCATCTACAAGAATAACCAGGTAGGAGGTGATCATATACAAGAATAACCAGGTAGGAGGTGATCATATACAAGAATAACCGGGTAGAAGGTGATCATCTACAAGAAAAACTGGGTAGGAGGTGATCATCTACAAGAAAAACTGGATAGGAGGTGATCATCTACAACAATAACTGGGTAGGAGGTGATCATCTACAAGAATAACTGGGTAGGAGGTGATCATCTACAAGAATAACTGAATAGGGGGTGATCATCTACAAGAATAACTGGATAGGGGGTGATCATCTACAAGAATAACTGGGTAGTGGGTGATCATATACAAGAATAGCTGGGTAGGAGGTGATCATCTACAAGAATAACCAGGTAGGAGGCGATCATCTACAAGAATAACCGGGTAGGAGTTAATCATCTACAAGAATAACCAGGTAGGAGGTGATCATAAACAAGAATAACTGTGTAGGGGGTGATCATATACAAGAATAACCGGGTAGGAGGTGATCATCTACAAGAATAACTGGGTAGGAGTTGATCATCTACAAGAATAACTGGGTAGGAGGTGATCATCTACAAGAATAACCGGGTAGGAGTTGATCATCTACAAGAATAATCGGGTAGGAGTTGATCATCTACAAGAATAACTGGGTAGGTGGTGATCATCTACACGAATAACCGGGAAGGAGGTGATCATCTACAAGAATAACTGGACAGGAGGTGATCATCTACAAGAATAACCAGGTAGGAGGTGATCATCTACAAGAATAACTGGGTAGGTGGTGATCATCTACAAGAATAACTGGGTAGAGGGTGATCATCTACAAGAATAACGGGGTAGGAAGTGATCACCTACAAGAATAACTGGGTAGGTGGTGATCACCTACAATAATAACCGGGTAGGGGGTGATCATCTACAAGTCAAATACTATGTAAAACTTACCTAGGCCAGGTCGGCTTCGGGGTTGTGAAGACGGTTTGAGGCAAAGATATACCAAGAGACACAGCTATTTTATGTCTATCTCTTTCCTTATCTTTGTCTTTCTCTCGCTGCCTCTCCTTATCTCTGTCCTTGTGATGTCTGTTGAGATGATGTAACTGACTACTACCACTGTGGTAAGTCTGATTACGTTCCTTTGTCTTTATCCGTACGTCACCCTGGTCTTTTCCTACTCCGCTAGCAGAAACGGATGTAGATTCTGATCTAAAGTTATGAGACTTTGATGGCAAAGGTGTCAAGTGTTTAGAAGCATCCTTTTCTGGTAATCCATTAGTAGTGGAAGAGGCTGACAAGCTCGGCGAAGATATGCATGGGCGTTTAGACAAATGAGCAAGTGGGCTATTTGGACTATGCTGGCGACAGAGATTTGGATTGGACTTGGATAAAGACAAGGACGGATGGATTCCGCTGCTGTGTTGTTGATGCTTAGGATGAGTATTATGAGGCTTTGAGATCAAATTTGTGGTGGTTATTGTGGTGGTAGTTGTTTCTTGTGATCCACTGTTTGAGGTCACAGACAGGGTGTCTCCGA